TGATTTGCTCTCCGCTTGCCTTCCGACGGTCAATCCGCCTAAAAACACAGCAGTACACAAGTGTGACACAGGAATAAACATATCTACATGCTCAGAAACATGCAATAGCACCCATATGGCGGACATGTGCAGGAAATTCAACAACCCTGTCCGCTTTTTGGGCGCCACGTACAAGAATCAGTTCTGCGCCATATGTGACAACGCCTCAGTCATCGAGATAGGATGCCTTGATCTCGATATCTCAAAGGTTAAAGAAGATGTAGCCCGTCTGAGTGGTTTTTCATTCTCGGTGCTCATGGGCTTTAATCTCTCTACAGGGCTCAGCGTTGGCCTCTTACGGAGGGACGTAGAAAGCGAGGTGGAAACTCTATCGTGCAAAGAGGGGGCTGTTGGCTTCGGCGATTGTCGGCCGATTTCTTGCCTGCCAGATTACGAGCTGGTAGATGGAGCTTGTCGTTATCAATGGGACATCTATCTGGTTGATTTCGACCTTACGTGGAATATTACATCAGAATGGGCTAAGGTAGATTGGAACACCACCGAAGAGGAACTTTTGTACTGGGCAGCAAATCTAGGGTATACGTATCTGTCAACCTTATATCTAAGCACTGTTCATAACGACATTCATTTCCAACCTCTGGCGGCTACCGTCAACTGCTCACTGAGCTTCAAGCTTCGTGTAAGACGAAAACGACCGAATATCACCGAGAGTGTGAAGACGGCGGTCCACGATATCCAGTCAGGTACTCTCCTAGAGCACGACGACGACTTCTTTCCCTTTATTTTAGCGAGAGTGAACACCAACATACAAAAGGTAAATTAGTTTAATTTACAGGCTTTCAATCCTACTTGCCCTGACAAAATTAACGTTATTATATTATACTGTTTATGGCTGTAAGTTTGTGTTTCAAAGGTTTGACGTTGTTGTTATCGAAGCACCCTGAAAAACTCATAAATTACTTACTTATGTATTCATTACTTCATTTTGTTACGTGACCACGTATTTTGATGTTTGACGATTGGTTGAGAGGCAATCACGAGCGGTCAATTATTATACATGTAGTGTTTTACCTCCTAATCAACGCATTACACCATCTTAAATCTACACGTAAACTGCATGAGTCAGATCCCTCATCAGTGAGTTACGGACTTATTTTTAAATATTTTAAAAACTCGTGATTATGTAAAAAAGTAGTTTACTGGTAGATTATGTTAGTACTTTGGTCACGTTTTACTGGATCAACGCTCAGCTAGGTTAACTGACCTTCGCTTTCGGCGGCGGTAAGTATCCCAGCTTCGGGTTGATACTTAGCTAAGAGCCGATCTCAGCCTCAGTCAACAACAACAACAACAACAATAATAATAATAATAATAATAATAATAATAATAATAATCTTTGATCATTCATAAGGTTTACTCTCTCGAGGACCCATCTTTGAAAGGCGAGGAAGAAGTACCGGTAGGACCTACTGTCGATGGTCTTCCCCCTATTTCGGAGGAAACAGATGGCGCTCACAATGGTCAGCAGCAAAATGAGAGCGTCTTGGAGACATTTCTGCCACCTATGATACCGAATGCATCTGGCACCATGGGGCTTGTAACTATCGTCTGCTTGAGTGTTTCAATAATCTGTCTTTCGACACGGATCATTATTCAGCCCTGTATCAAGAAGTACGCCACTTTTCCAGCGCGTTTACAGCTTTGTCTGTGTTTGACGTTATTATTTTCAAAACTTATTTTACTTCTTGCTCCCTTTGCTGTGATGTCAGAAGGCGTTTGTAAAGTTATGGCCATCCTTTTTCTGGATGAATATATTGGCCATCGACATGTGCCGTGCCTTAAATTTCACGGCCGCTATGAAGTTTGACACTGCCGGTGCTAAGAGGCGTCTCTTCACCCTGTATTGTACATATGCTTTTCTTGTTCCCGTAGCCATAGTAACCATCGCCATAGTGATCAACCATGTTGAAATGGATCCAGCATTCCAGCCAGGCTACGGGANATTTTATCATTCATAAGGTTTACTCTCTCGAGGACCCATCCTTGAAAGGCGAGGAAGAAGTACCGGTAGGACCTACTGTCGATGGTCTTCCCCCTATTTCGGAGGAAACAGATGGCGCTCAAAATGGTCAGCAGCAAAAAGAGAGCGTCTTGGAGACATTTCTGCCACCTATGACACCGAATGCATCTGGCACCATGGGACTTGTAACCATCGTCTGTTTGAGTGTTTCAATAATCTGTCTTTCGACGCGGATCATTCTTCAGCCCTGTATCAAGAAGTACGCCACTTTTCCAGCACGTTTACAGCTTTGTTTGTGTTTGGCGTTATTATTTTCAAAACTTATTTTCCTTCTTGCTCCCTTTACTGTGACGTCAGAAGGCGCTTGTAAAGTTATGGCCACCCTTTTACACTGGTCTATACTCGTCCCCTTTTTCTGGATGAATGCATTGGCCATCGACATGTGCCGTGCCTTAAATTTCAAGGCCGCTATGAAGTTTAACACTGCCAATGCTAAGAGGCATCTCTTCATTCTGTATTGCATATATGCTTTTCTTGTTCCCGTAGCCATAGTATCCATCGCCATAGTGTTCGACCATGTTGAAATGGATCCAGCATTCCAGCCAGGCTACGGGATAGGATTGTGTTGGATATCGCGTAAATACCCATTCATTATCTTCCTGGTATCGCCGGTCGGGGTCGCCATCGTCTCCAATCTTGGTCTCTACATCCACTGTGCGCGGCTGTTGCGTAAAGCGGTTGCCAGGACAGCTAAGCTGAAAAACACAAGCCAAGAGCATCCGATTGGCATATACATCAAACTGTTTGTCGTTCTGGGTGCAAACTGGACGTTCGGATTTTTGGCGTCCCTGCTCAACACAGAGGCCCTGTGGTATGTCTTTATTGTCCTGGCGACTCTTGACGGTGTCTTCGTCTTTGGGTCCTTGGTCTGTTATCGAGCGGTATATGAAGAAATTGTCTCTAAAGTCAAGAAGAGACAGGCGGGTGAGCATACTGTCACATACTAGCACAAGGCAGGGCATAATGTTGTCTGACATGGGGAAAATCAATTAGACATTTGCCAGGACTTAAGAGGATGGCAATCAGCTTCCAGATTATATGAAAATCCATCAAAATCGCAAAGTAACAAAATCGGTTGACCTTAGCCCATATATTCAAATCCTCAATTACAACCAAGTTTAATTTAAGGCCACTACATGTAGGCAACTAATCAACAGATAGACAATGGGTCAGTGAGAGGATGTGACGTATTAAAATAAATTCCTATAGAGTTGCAAGTCATGTTGGCATTGACTTTGAAAGCCTTTCCATTTTTGAAAGTTTTCCTGTTGTTTATTTGTAGGTAATCATAATTGTCTTTACTGTAAATGTCGCGTGACTCTCCACATGTACTAACTGTGAATATTGTTTGTGTGTTAAAGTCAACTTTTGCCCTTGTTAATTTTTTTTTTAGATTTTGGGTTGTCACTTGCCATCAGGAGAGGAGTATTGGTCTCTACCATATGGAAAATGTTTGTTACATCTGGGTCATGAGTGTTGATAAAGGGGATGCCGCTTTCCCCATCCTCTGTTCTCGTCGTTCTCACTTCTCCTATAGTTAATAATTTTGCTTTTTTTATAAGTAACGTACGATAATTTTGTTTTTCAAAGTCTCTTTTCAATTCATGTAGTCTGGTATCCCGTATTTTTTTTGTCAGAGACTATTGCACATACTCTTCTACATATATATATATGCTCCATATATAAATGTATATATACGAGCACCGTAACTTGTATAACCCGTGAAGCTGGAGAAACCATCTTTGAGTCCTGATAATAAGCCTAAAGAGCACCCGTCGTATAATTTAAAGTGTGCAATCCAGAGGAAAACCTAACTCCAAATAGTCCTGACAAACTTTCAGGAAACATGGGACAATATCCCACAAAACAGAATTGTTACCCTTGTGGTAGGCAACGGCGCCGTCTACAGGAGGATATTACAGTACGCGGGAAACACACACGGTCTTTATCGAGAATACACTAATGCTAAATGTTGGTAAAATTGGTGACATTTGGTGGTGTCTTTTCAATTTTATGGGCATGCATTTACCTCTGTGGAAATGACAGTGGAACATCGGATGTAAGGGGTACATGTAATAAATGTGAATAAATGGTATTAAATATGGATATCTTCACCGCTAGTTTGTATTTTCTGTACCACTAACCATGTTATGTCTGGAATAAAAAAATCGCCATTAGGATGATGGTAGGGTATTCAGTACAAAAGTTTATTTAGGCTCTCATCACATGCTGTTTTTTCGTTCTTACAGTAGAATAAAAAGAATCCTTTTACTCAACGACTTGCATAAAACAGGTCTTATGACCTCAAGCTTTGTGGAAGTAAGAATGGAAAACTTATGATTGCACCTCAATTGGAACGCATGTTACAACACAACTATTCAAACATTTAATCAGTCTTGAAAGATACATTGAAAAACATAATTGCATGCTCTAAATTACAAGTAATAAACAACTGTTATTTTCTACTAGATTTTAATATTGGAAAGTGAATATCCACAAGGAATTTGAAAGTCATAATAAACAAACTACGAAAAGAGTGTTTGGTGTGTAAACAGATACTCATGGTAATAGTTTTTATGTGAGTTTCCTCAGAGAGAAGTAATTAAGCAAATTCAACAGCAGTCAAAATGTATGGCACATTACAGTAAGTGGGAGATAGCCCATTCCCATCTCCACTAGCGCTGGGTCATTCCCTGGTTAAATTTCTAGCAGAAGCATCTTTATATCCATTGCAAAGGCAGGGTTTCTGTCACACTGGTCACTATGTATTCAGCACTTTCTTGGCATCACCATCATGCATACTCTGACTCTTTAATTTTCTATGAAATACGGTTCCGTGGTGCCGACAACCGGTGAGTTATCGGTTAAAGGTATCTAAAGGTACCTTTTAATTTTTTTCCGCTTAACAAACCGATACCAATGTATTTTAAATTTTCCATTTGAAAATAAAGAAAACATAGGTGCAAAAAATCTGAATGTCCTCAAAATAAGGGTCCTTTGATCGTTAAGCAATTTAAGTTTTGTCCGGCCTTCAGCCATATTTTCGATGTTGAAGTTAAAGCATTTACTGTAGCCGTAAGTTCTTGCGTAATACCAACACCTGCCCAAAGATATAAACCTATATATAAGGCTTCAGATGATCAGTCCTTTGTAATGTTAATATGTCTTGTCAAATATCCCAGTAACGAAAGATCTCGCGTTGACGGGTTCGTACGTGTTCGTANAATAATCTTTGATCATTCATAAGGTTTACTCTCTCGAGGACCCATCTTTGAAAGGCGAGGAAGAAGTACCGGTAGGACCTACTGTCGATGGTCTTCCCCCTATTTCGGAGGAAACAGATGGCGCTCACAATGGTCAGCAGCAAAATGAGAGCGTCTTGGAGACATTTCTGCCACCTATGATACCGAATGCATCTGGCACCATGGGGCTTGTAACTATCGTCTGCTTGAGTGTTTCAATAATCTGTCTTTCGACACGGATCATTATTCAGCCCTGTATCAAGAAGTACGCCACTTTTCCAGCGCGTTTACAGCTTTGTCTGTGTTTGACGTTATTATTTTCAAAACTTATTTTACTTCTTGCTCCCTTTGCTGTGATGTCAGAAGGCGTTTGTAAAGTTATGGCCATCCTTTTTCTGGATGAATATATTGGCCATCGACATGTGCCGTGCCTTAAATTTCACGGCCGCTATGAAGTTTGACACTGCCGGTGCTAAGAGGCGTCTCTTCACCCTGTATTGTACATATGCTTTTCTTGTTCCCGTAGCCATAGTAACCATCGCCATAGTGATCAACCATGTTGAAATGGATCCAGCATTCCAGCCAGGCTACGGGATAAGATTGTGTTGGATATCGCGTAAATACCCATTCATTATCTTCCTGGTGTCGCCTGTCGGGGTCGCCATCGTCTCCAATCTTGGTCTCTACATCCACTGTGCGAGGCTGTTGCGTAAAGCGGTTGCCAGGACATCTAAGCTGAAAAACACAAGCCAAGAGCATCCGATTGGCATATACGTCAAACTGTTTGTCGTTCTGGGTGCAAACTGGACGTTCGGATTTTTGGCGCCCCTTTTCCACACAGAGGCCCTGTGGTATGTCTTTATTGTCCTGGCAACTCTTGACGGTGTCTTCGTCCTTGGGTCTTTGGTTTGTAATCGAGAGGTATATGAAGAATTTGTCTCTAAGATCAAGAAGAGACAGGCGGGTGAGCATACTGTCACAGATCCCAACACAAGGCAGGGCACGATGTTGTCTGACATGAGGAAAATCAATGAGACATTTGCCAGTGCATAAGCGGATGGCAAGCAGATTCCAGATTATATGAAAATCCATCAAAATCGCAAAATAACAATATGGGTTGACCTTAGCCCATATATTCAAAGTGTCAATTACAACCAAATTTAATTTAAGGCCACTACATGTAGGCAACTAATCAACAGAAAGACAATGGGTCGGTGAGAGGATGTGACGTATTAAAATAAATTCCTATAGAGTTGCAAGTCATGTTGGCATTGACTTTGAAAGCCTTTCCATTTTTGAAAGTTTTCCTGTTGTTTATTTGTAGGTAATCATAATTGTCTTTACTGTAAATGTCGCGTGACTCTCCACATGTACTAACTGTGAATATTGTTTGTTTGTTAAAGTCAAATTTTGCCCTTGTTAATTTTTTTTTTTAGATTTTGGGTTGTCACTTGCCATCAGGAGAGGAGTATTGGTCTCTACCATATGGAATATGTTTGTTACATCTGGATCATGAGTGTTGATAAAGGGGATGCCGTTTTCCCCATCCTCTGTTCTTGGCGTTCTCAGTTCTCCTATAGTTAATAATTTTGCTTTTTTTATAAGTAACGTACGATAATTTTGTTTTTCAAAGTCTCTTTTCCCTTCCTGTAGTCTGGTATCCCGTATTTTTTTGTCAGAGACTATTGCACATACTCTTCTACATATATATGGTCCATATATAAATGTATATATATATACGAGCACCGTGACTTGTATACCCCGTGAAGCTGGAGATACCATCTTTGAGTCCTGATAATAAGCCTAAAGAGCACCCGTGGTATAATTTAAAGTGTGCAATCCAGAGGAAAACCTAACTCCAAATAGTCCTGACAAACTTTTAGGAAACATGGGACAATATCCCACAAAACAGAATTGTTACCCTTGTGGTAGACAACGGCGCCGTCTACAGGAGGTTATTACAGTACGCGGGAAACACACACGGTCTTTATCGAGAACACACTTATGCTAAATGTGTGTAAAATTGGTGACATTTGGTGGTGTCTTTTCAATTTAATGGGCATGCATTTACCTCTGTGGAAATGACAGTGGAACATCGGATGTAAGGGGTACATGTAATAAATGTGAATAAATGGTATTAAATATGGATATCTTCACCGCTAGTTTGTATTATCTGTACCACTAACCATGTTATGTCTGGAATAAAAAAATCGCCATTAGGATGATGGTGGGGTATTCAGTACAAAAGTTTATTTAGGCTCTCATCACATGCTGTTTTTTCGTTCTTACAGTAGAATAAAAAGAATCCTTTTACTCAACGACTTGCATAAAACAGGTCTTATGACCTCAAGCTTTGTGGAAGTAAGAATGGAAAACTTATGATTGCACCCCAATTGGAACGCATGTTACAACACAACTATTCAAACATTTAATCAGTCTTGAAAGATACATTGAAAAACATAATTGCATGCTCTAAATTACAAGTAATAAACAACTGTTATTTTCTACTAGATTTTAATATTGGAAAGTGAATCCACAAGGAATTTGAGAGTCATATAAAACAAACTACGAAAAGAGTGTTTGGTGTGTACACAGATACTCATGGTAATAATTTTTATGTGAGTTTCCTCAGAGAGAAGTAATTAAGCAAATTCAACAGCAGTCAAAATGTATGGCACATTACAGTAAGTGGGAGATAGCCCATTCCCATCTCCACTAGCGCTGGGTCATTCCCTGGTTAAATTTCTAGCAGAAGCATCTTTATATCCATTGCAAAGGCAGGGTTTCTGTCACACTGGTCACTATGTATTCAGCACTTTCTTGGCATCACCATCATGCATACTCTGACTCTTTAATTTTCTATGAAATACGGTTCCGTGGTGCCGACAACCGGTGAGTTATCGGTTAAAGGTATCTAAAGGTACCTTTTAATTTTTTTCCGCTAAACAAACCGATACCAATGTATTTTAAATTTTCCATTTGAAAATAAAGAAAACATAGGTGCAAAAAATCTGAATGTCCTCAAAATAAGGGTCCTTTGATCGTTAAGCAATTTAAGTTTTGTCCGGCCTTCAGCCATATTTTCGATGTTGAAGTTAAAGCATTTACTGTAGCCGTAAGTTCTTACGTAATACCAACACCTGCCCAAAGATATAAACCTATATATAAGGCTTCAGATGATCAGTCCTTTGTAATGTTAATATGTCTTGTCAAATATCCCAGTAACGAAAGATCTCGCGTTGACGGGTTCGTACGTGTCGGATCCGTCCACGCATTTCACTTCCACATCGTCATCAGGAGCGATAAGTTGGATAATGGACTGGCGGGCTGGGCACTTGCCCCCTGGCATAATCACCCTGTGCACCTGCGAGTAAAAAAATAAAACATGGTCAGGGTGACAGATGAGTCCACTGTGAGTAAACTGGGGGTCCGTGGAACAGAGTCCGTCCCCCATTAGGTTTATACAGGTAAGGGTTGGTCTGACATAAATGGGCTGGACTCAAAGAAAGGGCTTACCTGTACATACATGTATCACCAGGAGGTGGACTCTGTATTACAGGAGAGTCTTTTGCACACGACACTGGGTTCACAACAGAGCTTGGAACGACAATTTGTATCAAATTTTACCAACAAATATTGGTCCATTTCGAGAAAAATCGAACTGTAGAGGTCCACTAATATGATATCACTCATCGGGCTACTGTATGGAATCAAGGTAGCATGGTCATATATTGGTCCGAAATTCTTTCATTTTGTATCTGTAATACTAAACAAAGGCTGCTGACATTGTATGAGGTGTATGTGCCGTATCTACACGTACATGGGCTACTTTCTCCATGGAGAGTGAGAACATGGTGCGCGAGCGCGCGCGTGTGTATTTGTACAGCATTTATGTGCCTGATAGAGACAGGTCTACGAGAGAGAGAGAGAGAGAGAGAGAGATAGAGAGAGAGAGAGAGAGACTGTACCTACCGTAGCTTTCAGTTTGTCAGCCGTCCATCTTTGTAACAACAGATCAACAAACACTCCGACGGTTCCAGGCACTGGCAACACGGGGCACCAAGTCCCGTCCTTTGTCTTTACCTGTCAACACAACTATAAACATTTAGTAGAAGTATTACATGTACTCATTACTCTAATAGCCAAACAACGCAACAACAGTCATACAGCATTGGCCAAAAAGGTTGTCCCACTCCCAATTATTTACAAATGAGGTGTAAATTGTCATAAACAGTGTTTTTTTTTTAATTTCAGATGCCGTATATGACATGATTAATGGTTAAGAATATACAAAATATTCCATACCATTTATTCAGATTTAAAACATGTTACCCCTCAAATTCAGTGTTTCACTGGGGCTTCCACAGAGGTAAAGAAATGTCCATAAAATTGGAATGCCAGCACCAAATGTCACCAAATTAACATACAATTAGCATTAGGATGTGCTCGTTAAAGGTCGCGTGCCTAATAGTGTATTTGTCTACTGCGCACTGCACTAATCTCCTGTAGGCGGCGCGATAAGCTCTGCGAGCAAGTGTGTTGTCATGATGAATCCTGGATTTAACCTCGAAGTCAGCTCTTGCTACCCTAGGTTCTAGATTCCGGTATTGCCAGCTCGATCTTGATTTCATATATAACCCATATCAACAATACCGGCTCTAGTGAACAGCAGCCATATGCATGTTACACTTCCGTCAATCAAATAGAACTGCTCCGCAGTGAATCTGCAGTTGAATGTCATCAGACCAAAATGAAACGTAAAACAATTTTAATTCTGCTTTATTTAATTTTGTTTGCTGTATTTAAGATGTAAAGTGAAAAAATAAATAATATTCTTTGAACAGAAAAGATATATCCAATGTTCTTGTATTTTTTGCTTATCAATGAACATTTAGTCCTGAGATGTACACGTGCGCAATACACGTGCTTGCCGTGTGTCAAATTTGACAGCTACACTGTATGCCCGATACCACTATAAGGGCTGCGCAATGGCTACACCAAAATCAGTTGTTAAAGCAGAATGTTGCTTCTATTGTGGCACTGACCTTCGACTGCAAGATATTTTCAATTCAAACTTCGTCAGGCACTTTTCTTCTTGTCTCGTCTGCACGAGATAACTTCAGCGCGAGGCGGGAAAGGCAGCTCCAGGCGGCCAAACCTGTGACGCACGAGACTTATGACTTCCAAATATGGATCCAGGCGGACACAGCTGTGACGTGTGACTTCCAAATATGGAAGTGCCCCAGGCAAAATTTTGAAGAAAAACGCCCTCAGATTGTCGCTGTTCGTCAGAGCTATAGTAAAAGCGACTCCATCACAAGGTATATTTAAGCTAGTTAGCTTTTACGTTGCTCTGACACTCAGGGTAGCTCTTGCAGATTAGTGAGATATAAGTTGAGAAAATTACGTTCAGTTACCCTAGAGGTACCGGAACCTGGTCGGCCATCACTGAAAAGGAAACTGGTTTTGTTGAAGAATTAAGGTATTTCCTGTACCCTATCTATGGCAAAATGATGGTCCGTAGACATGTTGCAAGTCCGTAGACCGTAGACAATGCCTCTTGGAAGGGTTGATGCAGGATCATATCGCCTGAGTGTCAGATCAGTCCACATTTGGAGAGCATTCCAAGCCCATAGCATCAGTACATTGTTCCCTCTGGAACAGAATGCTCTCAACAGATATCTCACTCCATTTGCAAGAGGTGACTTCAGGGATGGTACTGGCTTCATCGTGTCAACGCACTTGCTCACAACTTTCGTCTGGTGAGTGATTTGTTGCAGAGACAGAATGTTCTGAGGATTGGACAAACATCCTTGAGCCATAATATCAACCCCAATGAGCACCCGTGTCATGAATTGGAGTGTTAAATGCCGGAGAGTACTAATCCCCAAATAATCTTGACCAATTTCGCCAAGCTTTTTAGAAAGAATGGATCAATATCACACAAAACGGAACTGTAACCCTTGTTAAAGGCTTGTCGTGCAGCCTACCGTTCATAATTGCAGTGTGCGGTTGACACACGCTATTAGACACGTGATCTTTAAAGGATTTGCGTCATACCGTCAGAATGGCTTCAACGGAACATATTCTTCAGAAGACATGCCCAACTAACGATATCTTTATCCAAATACACAAATTAAAAGCTCATTTTGTACATTTTTGGCTTTAAAAAACATCCTTTTTGCTCGGCCTGGGAGTTAATGAGCTACGTGATCACGTGGTCCAATGACGACAATCGTGCCACCGGAGAACAGAGCGTGCTTAGCTGTCAAACTGAGCTGCATTGTCTACCTGTAAGATGACTTCTCTGGCTTCTGATAAAAGTTTATACTCATTCAAATCTCTTACCCGAGGGGTCTGAATCCTCGTGAAGCTGTGTAAAACCATTTCCCGTCAAGTCAATTCTTTAACAAGCATTAAATTATGATTATCCCAAGTTGTATAAAACACTGCATTTGAATGAGTTAAGGGTACTGTTTATTATTGCATATGAGGTCCATGTTATTTGTGAAATTCAATTAATTTCATTAAACCGCTGACACTCCGTCTTGCATACTTTAATTTATTAAACTGAGGTAAACAATGCCCGTTACCTTTACAAGTCCTATCTTAATCATCCATCTAACTGGAACTTCCTTTACCTCTTAATTAGAGGGTTAAATGGCATTCAATTCTCCTCCCCAATCCAACTCTCACTGGCGATATTTATCTCAGGTAAAAATCTACCTGTGCGTTAGTTTCAAAGAGCAGCTCCCGCAGACCTGGGGTACTAGATAAAATCTGAACACCAGGTTTATCGAGGAGCTAGAGAAACAAAGGAAGAATTTTTCCTGCACAGCTTCATAGGTATTTTAACATGGACTTGATCCAGCTTAGACCTCCAAACTAACAGGGTGACATGAGCAATTTTCACAAACAAATAATAAAACTATATTTCAGTTAGCCTCCTTTTAAATAAATATACCGTTCTGGGTAAATTAGAATATTTATTAAATCGCGATAATATTTTTGACTTGAATGATGATTTTATTATTAATGGAAATTAAGTTACTATATGAGGTACATTTGCTGTGATTACGCTGTCCTTCATTTTTTGCGTTAATCTACATTTTGCTGTACGTGCTTGTAATTTTTTTTAATCTGTGCGTACAACTTTTGCAGGTCTGGTTACCCCCCTGTAATGTGATGAAAGTCCAAAGTTGGCAATTAGTTCCATAGCTTATTTAAATAGAATTGCAGTGTAAAAATTTTAACAAGATGTTGGCGCAATAGCCCTTTACTCTTTGTGGATATTTAAGTTATATACAATGAACCAAGTTATCAGTACTGCTCTTTTTTTACATCCAACATTCTTTTAAAAAATCCGTTTGTGGCTTTCTTATATTCCTTACCAGGTTAAATCTCCATGCATAATTTAAAATATACTAACGTACGTAAAACTGCACATTTAGTAAACACATTAAATTTATGATTTTTTCCATGCTACCAGTAGCAAACAATGCTCTTTTACCTTGATCTGCTACATGTTTTGTGGGTTTGACAAAGCTTACAAATCTGCAAAAAGTTTTGCGTACAGACGCAGAACTTGCGTTTCAAGTTATGAAATGATAAACCTTTTAAATTATTTAATATTTCAGAAGAAATAACCTTCAGAAACAAATCCTCAAAGCATAAACGTATTAGGATTACGAACCATTTTCTTACAGCAGTTCCCATTTTTTCTTTAATATAACGCTCTTTTTCCTGTTTTTCCTCAACACTTTTTCTTCCAAGGAAATAATGCCTGGACATACGCATGCTTCAAGATACCCTGAGAGCAATTTCTTTTATTAATGTTCGCGACCGTGTTTGATCTTAATTGTTTAAATATTGATATTAAACGTCATTTACAAATACCAATAAAATAACCCCATGAAATAAATGAGATATATTGAAAAATATGAAAGCCCACCAAGACGAGTTTGATGCCTGTTATTACCTGGCTTGGGAATTGTAGCAGTGCATAATTAACAGGTTTTATTGTTTACGAGCTCTTGGTCAACTACAATGCATTTAAAATGCATCAGCAATTAGTAAGCTTGCCAACTGATGACAGTTTTAACTGTCATCAGTTGGCAAGCTTACTAATTTACTGATTAAAATCTAAAAGACTATCAGCTTTTGATATGATGTAAAACACCTGAGGTGACCGAGATCGCGAGCATCGCAACTATTGTCACCGAAGTTAGTAAGTCACGGAAGACCGTCACAGACAAAGATTGTCAAGGAGTTCTGCAATTTTGGTGAATCCCACGGCAACACACTGAGGCATAAAGAAAATTGCTCAACTCCGTTCAACACAACTTTCTTAAACTATTGTCTGTATGCACCATGCAGCTCAGTTAAGTCTCATAGACCTTTATCCTCATTGTCGTCACAGTACCACGTGACCCAGATCTGTTGCTTCATTTATGCATATTGAGGTGAGGTTTACTAAAACGCCTTTTTTCTACTAATAGATTGTTTTTATAAATTTTTAATGGCGGGGGATCGATTAAAAAATACCTCTAGTGTGTAGATTGAGTGCTGAATATTCAAAATTCGAGAAATGGATTTTTATGGGTCTATTCTCCTTTAAAAAGCTTATACCACTGTTAATTTTGTGTAACTTTGGTCACATTTGGTGCTGTCATTTCAATTTTATGGACATTTTTACCTGAATTCACAGTAAAACACTGGATTTGAGAGGGTGCATGGTTTATATGTGAATAAATGGTATAAAATAAGGATATTTTCGTCTCTATTTTGTATATTCTTAAACAAAAGTCATGCCAGATATGGAATCTGGAATAAAAAGCACTGTTAATAAAAAATTACACCCGTGAGGTGATCATTTGGGGGGTGAGACAACCCTTTGACCAATTACTACAGAAGTATATATATACATGTATACAGTACAGGTATATACCCTGTACTTATCAATGGTACTGCCGTCTCGTTTTCCTCTTTCTTCCCCCCCTCTACCTCTCAAAATTAAAAAAAAAAGAATATTGAGCAAAATGAAACTAAACCCAGTGACTTCTACCACTGTGTAATACGTATTACATCTGTCTACAAAAAGTAGTCGACAAACATTTTATAGATCCAGTGATGGAACACTTTCTGTTGTTATTAATGGCACTTATCGGCGTATAGATAAATATTCCTAATCTTTAATTGAATTTTCTCTTTCTTTATTTATTGCACTTTTACTTGCTTTGTGCATGATAGTTATTCTTCTTTCTCATCATTAAAATCTCCAGGGTGATATGGGCTGATGATAGGTCACTCACCTCCAGCCCGCCTTGGTCATCTTGAAACAAGAGGGTCAAGGTCACATAGTCAGCATGCTCTCCAATGCGCATCTGATTCGGCAAAATCACTGCAAAAGAACGATATAGCCTAATAGAAATAATTTTTTTTGCAAACCAAGGCTCCAGGGATGTTTCCGCTTTTAGGCATAATTGCAGCTTGTTCTTCTGAGATACAAAATGACGCAATCGACCACATTTCCTTTTGATATTCTAAATGAATTCACAGGCAAATGTGCTTATTGTACTTTGCATAGCATACTGAAAGAAATGTGAACAAACATAAGGTTATTGCGTAATGAAGTTACACTGTAATTACCTGTTTCGTCTGTAATTTCCGGATAATAGTTACACCGCGTTGCCGTCATTGAATTCCGGGTTCCTGCACCTTTGTGTGGTCCATCAAAGAAATGTCGATCCTTTTTTGTTAAGAAGAGAAAGTTGCGCATTACCCACTGGCATCTTAGTACAAATAAAACGCTGCACATATACGAGTACATGCATGAATACACACAAACAAAACTGTTTGGAGGGTCAAAAAAGCGACAGATGTGCCATCTCTCCGAATTCAAATTGCCCGAGTATTAGCATAAGAATTAATAAATAAAAAAAAATAAATAAATAAATAAAAACAAAATATATCTGTTAACAAAATATAATAGCTAGACTCTGTCCAGAACATGAACAGTTATCACTGAGTAGAGAATTTATTGATTAACAGCCAAAATATCAAACGTATCTAGCAGGCGTGGTGTCGTCGATGTGAAAGCAACAGGGCCTATCCCGAATTTAACACAGGATCATCCGAGTTTTTGTCGCAATGTACTTTTCGAAGTTTATGTTAGATTTTAATGATTGAAATGATAAAAAACCACTGACACCTGCGATGTCAGGTACGTTGGGGAAGAAAAAAAACATAAAATCCTAAAAAAATATTTTCTAACATAAGTTGAGAACACGGAGCTGGTCCGTTGTCAACTGATTTGCAATGACGTCACAAGGCGATCAGATTTCATGAAAGTGTTTGTATTTATCAAATACCTCAGTGGATTGCTTACAGGGTTGCCGCAATGCTAGACTGAAGTGGGGAAACAATTTAGAGTACGACCGATGAAAGCTTGGTCAGGAGGTAAGGGGCTGAGATTATACCCACCAGTCCCATAGCAAGGGCAAGTCCCTGCAGGATACGTTTGCCAAGTGACATGGCTTGGCGGTTCAAGTTGAGCAAGGTTGGCTTGAATGAGACGACCTCGTGTGGCCATTTCTAAAATAAGAAACAACTAATATTCAATAGCTCACAAGACATATTCCATGTTAAACAGACATCTACCGAACAATTTTTGCTGTAATTCATATTTTATTTACCATTCTACAACGCACCAAAATGATAATGACATTGATTTCTTGGAAAGCGGGATTTTTTATTTAAATGCTTGGCGTTTCTTAAATCTAAACGTTGGTAGTTTTCAGCAAGCGGTTTTATTTTTTAGTGTCTTTCTACAAAATAATAATATTAAATAGTATCAATCCATACCTGCTCCATCCATAGAGCGTAACTGAATGACTCCTTCAAATCGACCGGCCCTTCTGGGTTGACGCTGAAAATGAAAAATGAAAAATAATAAAACTATGAGGAGCTACAGCGTTTCTGTCTTTCTCTTCTTTAGTTAATTCAGGGTACATGTAGACCCATTGCTATGATCTATTGAGTCTGGGACGTAGGAAGCTAATTTCAAGTGGTTGGGCTGGCCATTCAAAAAAAAAAAGCACCGCTGCTTCTCGGGTTGAAGATTCATTTACGAAGTAAATAAAAGTGGGTTTGTTTGTTTGCCACGGGAAGCTCCCAAATACCCCAAAAGCCTACTCTAGGTGAGTATAAGTTATAGACGATAGCTGATGGTCATAACACAAAATTGTTACCAAATTTCATAAAATACTATAACATTGCATGAATATTTAAACTCACCTCTCTACACCCTGCCCCACCCAGCCATTGTAATTGTCGTCATGGGGGTCGTCTGGTCGCCGGTATTTCTGTTTCACTTCCGCCGGAAGCTCAAAGAACTGTCTGCTGCAGGTAAAGGATTCCCTTACCTACAACCACAACCAAAGTAGAGATAGGTTATTATTGGGAAAATCAATTTTCTGGCGGTAGGGAGGCTTTGCAGCGATCGTCATCAAAACAAACGGCAGCCATGCTGGAGGGAGACCGGAATCGTCTGCTGCGCATGACTAAACCATGTCTACAAATCAAAGATTCTTTTAACCGAGCAAAACGATGAATTACTGCAGGGTATTTGATCGAGAGAAGATAACTAACTTTACTCTTTTAACCGAGCAAAACGATGAATTACTGCAGGTTATTTGATCGAGAGAAGATAACTAACTTTACAAGCGTTCACAGACTGCCTGCAGTGATAACAATCCAAGGAGAAAGGACCAAAACCATTAACGGTGGAGAGAAGCGGCTTTGAATTAAGACTCATCAGGTAAAAGGTAAAATGAATTTATTTTGTTTCTCCTTAAATCAATCCTTTATGAAAAAAATGTTGTTTCCATGAAAGGTTGAACTTATGATTACACATTAAACTCTCTCAAACTATAACTATTTTATGTTCCAATGAACAAAATAAATAAATAAATAAATTAATTAATAAATAAAATGAAGTACAAGATAACTGAAATAGCTTCTGACAACTACACGATGTTGGGAAAAGTCACATTTGGCAGGATTTCACGTCTTTAGACTGTCTTGAGTTCATATGCGTCAATCCCGTTGATCAGCTGAAGCTTTCACTTGTATATATATCCTTTTCACTTTGGTGTACTCGATTGCGACAATGTGAAGACCTATGAATTTTATTTTAATTTATTTGCATCACCTATTAACGCTACTACCCCGTCGTTCTTCCAACATGGTCACGGGACTAGGGTTACGGAGCAAATATGACTTCATTGAAATGGGTCAATTCCGTCATATCCAGAATTCTTTATTAAAATTGTCAAGTTTAACTATTTTACGTTAATTCGAAATTCTCTCACCAGTCGTTCTTCTATTCCGCAGTTCTTCAGCAGGAGGAAGGGGGCAGTGGCCAGAGCCTGGTAAACCTCCTGACCCAGCTCTAGTAAGACGCTGTCTGGGACCTTGTCTGCGTCCACAGCCAGAGAATAGCGAGAGAAGTCTATTACCGGTATTTCCGCCGCCATCTCGTATACAGAGTGTGGTCGTCGTTCACTATATAGACAGATGAACTCAATCCTTTCATTCACGGAAGCAGGAAATCACTTATTTAATAAATGAAAAAGATAATTAAATTAATGCTTAATGAAATGAAATAAAATGCAGTGAATGAACAAATGAATTAAAAGATGACTGAATAAAGAAACTAACTTAAGAATACAGGTACTAGTAACCGAAATAGAATAAGTGAGAGGGCGCAGACTTGATTTAGGAGAAAGGGCAACGCAGGTCAGGAAATGGTGGAAACGGCACAGACCACAGACCACAGACAACACAGACCTGTTGCTAATAATTTATATACAAGAATTTGTACAGAGAGGGATTGTGCTTATAAGTAAATCATTCTTGAACCTTTTCTAGAACTTGATGTATTCAGTATGAAGTATCGTAATATGATACACCTAATGTACCAATTTATTATTCAGGTTGCTAAGCTTCGTGACATTAAGCATCATGTGGGCATACTGGTTTTAAGTCAACGCCCACCACTTAATAGCAATATCATATAGCGCAACTACGAAAAAAGGTTCATCTTTGCATTGTTGCTGTATACTAGGTCTTTCTATAATACAAACATATGTGAAGAAGTTGTTTATTGAAATAATAAAACAGCATATTTAGCTGGACCCTGGACTCATTTTAATTCAAAATATATTACCATCATCAACAACAAAAAGACAATAATATTCAAAACAAAATAAAATAATGTTGCACAGATGTAACAGATAAGGAGAGAAATTTGGATTTGTCAAAAAAAAAAAAAAATTAAAATATAAACGTTAATAATTTCCTGAACCGCCGTGCCCGATAAAAATGTAACATATACCAGACACGCAGAGAGGTCATTACAGTGGCGATCGCAAGAAGTTGATTTGCATACGCCCCTCCCCCCTCTCTCTCTCTGATCTTTCAATGGGTTATTTGATGTCATAGGAAATGGCAATAGACAGACACAAGAAGCGACCCCAGACACTGTGATGATGTGCGGAATTAACATGATAACGTACACTATCGTGCATGTGGTTTTGGTGAGAAGTTTTGATAGAATTTCAAGGTATCGGCTTCAGTGACTAAGCAAAAGAAACAGAAATGTAATTTATAAATAATAAAGAAGGCTTAATTGGCTCACCCTCAACACCCTCAAACCATCCTGGTGAACACGTGGCTTTGTTTTCTAGTAGTCCATTAAGCAATAATCAAAAAGCAAACTTCAACCTTAGAAAGCCAGTGCATGGTACGTACAGTTTTCATCTAAAATCTCAAAAATAGGGAACATAGGACATTATAGAAACTTGAAGCCCTGCTGTTGTAGAACGGCATTTTATTATTTTCTCTGAAACTCTCATATATAACTTCTTGGTCACCATTTCCCAAACATTCGCTTACATTGATGTCACAAGTGATATACCACGCCTCAGCCATGATTATCACATTTTACAAGTCTCGGTTGTTTTGTTCGCCTATTCGCGTTTACACCAAACTTCGAGTTCTCGGAAAGGCGCTGGGGTAAAACATTCCTCAAACGCTGGGCAACCAGACACTGGCTCATTGCGAGCAACTTGAGTGACATGTTTTACCTATGTCACCCAGTGGAGAGGGACTGTCTTGAGATTTGTGAGACGCTGTAACGCCACAGTGACGCCCCCTGGCGATGGTCACAGAGTTGTGGTCGGTTCCATACAAATATAGCCCTTTCGATAAAGCGTGATGGAGACCAAGAGAGATGGCTTTGGAGACTGTTTCTTGGATGCCACCTGGTAACCCCAGTGTAAGTCCAGGCGGCTAATGGAGATCGATAATTGGCCAAAATCGTTCTCTGAGCGGTGGCAAGTCCGGTGTAAACGGCATTAAAATGCACGTCCGGCACCAACAGCATCGACCGCGCCAAAGGTAAACTTTTTCTGAACAAGACAGACGGTGAAGTAAATCACTTAGGTATTTACCATAGTGAGATATCTAATGGAAGGTATCGACTTTAATTTGGTTAATAATTTGTTGATCGATTTACGCAAAGTGACGCATTATATAACCTTCCAAATGATTATACACTTAATATCTTTCGTTAAAAACAATCCAAAGTCTGAATGATATTGTCTTTTGACTCATCATAAAATGATAGGCCACGAGTGTTTGATCTAGCTTCGAGGGAAAGGAATAGGGTTGCGTACAATAAACCTCCACTGACAATATAACCGCGGCGCAGAAGCTTGAAGCTTTGCATGTTGATTTTCCCTTGAGACTTTAAACGACGGTGAGATAGACGTTCCCAAGAATGAGATTGCTAAGAATCCTCACAGCGATTTATCTACTCTCAGGTAATATTCATATACTCACATAACATTCAGTTTAGGTAACTGTTATATTTTAACAATTTTCTCCAAATTTTACAGATATTTAAATGAAACTTTAAATCTTGACGGTTATTTTATATATGCTTATTTACGGATGTCAACATGTTCTCTGCTGGCGTTGCCGAAATATGGATTCCTTTTTGGCAAAAATATTCTGTAAGCGTATAGGTATTAAAATGACAGTTTAACTTTTGACTGTTATTTTATATGTGCGGTGCAACAGTAACACCATTTGAGAACATGCGATATTGACATTTAATATGTACTTTGTTTTGTGAATAATTTTTGAACTGCAGGAATTTTATGCTTATTTCTGGGTGTCAACATCTTCTGTTGCTGGCGTTGCCGAAATATGGATTCCTTTTTTTGCAAAAAATATTCTTTAATATGGTCATACTAAGACTAGCCTAAAAAGAATATCACTATATGTATGTAATGACGTCACAGTAGTAAAGTGACACGGACAATGCCTGTAGTCTTTTGACCACTACTGACCAGAACTGATATACAGTACCCTACGTGATGAACTTTAACAACGTTGATGATAATTCCATGTTCGCAGACTGGCGATGCGCTGGATGAAGTATATCTATGTACGACTCAGAACTATTGATTGTTATGGCAGATATATACATGTACAGCCAAACTTGACCTCTCTGTGAGAAAGTAGAAAGTTTCCATTTGATCCGACCTCTTCTAACGAAGCTTCTCTGGCTCCGTGGTAACTCCTGCACCTTGGACACTTAACACCTTAACACTTATATGAGTGTTCGAACCCTTGCTTGAAATGATTTCTAAAAATCGCGGTTGATTACTATAAGAGGAAACTCGTACGTTCGTTGGTTGTGCGGGTCAGTCACGGCGCAGTCGCTAGCGTGCTTGGTGGCAAAAAATACCAACCCATCGGCAAACCATGGTAACGGCAAGTCACGAGTTCAAATCGCAGATGACACATGTCAGTTTATCACAACAAAAAACTGGTCCCGCAATCGAAAACGAATGCAGGCTCTCGTGTGCCTGAGCATATTACACTTTGCATAGAAATCCAGTATAGTTTAGAATAAGTGATCGATTTTGACCACAAAATCGTTATCATAACAATAAGTACATTTGTTATTTCTGTCAGCTACGCAGGGTCACCCAGACATGAGTGACCTGGTAAAATATGTCATGAACAAGACAGACCACTTCTCTATGCCACTTCCAGCGGATGGAGGACCTCTAGCGATTAGCATTGAAATTACAGTCAGCTCAATATTTTACTTGGTGAGTGTAGGTTTGTTGTTACTTCGAACATCTTAACACAAATATCGTATCTACCTGGTTTTAATGTTCATGCAGACAATTTCTCGCGCTGTTTCATGTGACACGTAACACATGTTGTGGTGCGAGAATTACATACGCGTATGTGCATGTACTAATAAAGTAAACGGTAATTACTGACCCCGTTTTACATCGGTGCATGTATAACAGACTAATCTTGAAAAAAAAATTTACACTTATCTTGTATTAATCTAATCTAATTTTGGATATTTGTCAAAGCACCTGGCACACATTAATAGTCAATCAAAATGAACATATGAACACGAATTTAATAAACATATCCTAATAATTGGATATAGTTTTTTTCTTTTTCTTATTTTAATTTTCAATTAAGGACGAAGTTCATGAGACCCTTGCATCTAGAATGTTTTTTCTTCTGGTGAGTGATCTCTAACATACAGTAATTATATCAAGTAAAGGTGAGCTCAGATCAAGATTAGCTAAAGTAATTTTATTACCAATATAAAAAGCATTAAATTAACTTGACTGCAGATAAAACAGGGCTTAAAGACGGTAGTGTTGAAATACATGACGATTACTATGATTCAATTAACAGTGAAAGATTTGATAGTNTGGAGAGAAATTTGGATTTGTCAAAAAAAAAAAAAAATTAAAATATAAACGTTAATAATTTCCTGAACCGCCGTGCCCGATAAAAATGTAACATATACCAGACACGCAGAGAGGTCATTACAGTGGCGATCGCAAGAAGTTGATTTGCATACGCCCCTCCCCCCTCTCTCTCTCTGATCTTTCAATGGGTTATTTGATGTCATAGGAAATGGCAATAGACAGACACAAGAAGCGACCCCAGACACTGTGATGATGTGCGGAATTAACATGATAACGTACACTATCGTGCATGTGGTTTTGGTGAGAAGTTTTGATAGAATTACAAGGTATCGGCTTCAGTGACTAAGCAAAAGAAACAGAAATGTAATTTATAAATAATAAAGAAGGCTTAATTGGCTCACCCTCAACACCCTCAAACCATCCTGGTGAACACGTGGCTTTGTTTTCTAGTAGTCCATTAAGCAATAATCAAAAAGCAAACTTCAACCTTAGAAAGCCAGTGCATGGTACGTACAGTTTTCATCTAAAATCTCAAAAATAGGGAACATAGGACATTATAGAAACTTGAAGCCCTGCTGTTGTAGAACGGCATTTTATTATTTTCTCTGAAACTCTCATATATAACTTCTTGGTCACCATTTCCCAAACATTCGCTTACATTGATGTCACAAGTGATATACCACGCCTCAGCCATGATAATCACATTTTACAAGTCTCGGTTGTTTTGTTCGCCTATT